CGTCAACTTTTTGAAGGCCATAGATAGGCCTAAATAAAACGTTTTTAATTGTGTACCAGTTTAACGTTGAATATTATTTATGATTTTAACTTTATACACAAGTGCCAAAATACTATAATTAAGCTGAACGTTGTCTCATTTCCCAGTTGTTTTCTTTGTTTGTACAATTACAATGCTGCTTCAATTATTGTTTGTGCTATCTGTGCTAGCCGTCCTAATTTAAAAGTGAAAAATTAGAGGGAAGACAACTAGTAACCATCAAGGCTTTCCAAACTATTGGGCTTCTCCCTAAAATGTTCTTAGACAAAAAATTAAACACAAAACTGTTTTATTGATTAATCTAGTTATACATTTAGTACTTTCTGCGCAACATTTAGTAATCTGTTGTTCATTTATACTTAGTGGTCCGGGCGTAGCCTATTGACTAATGTGCCGGGCTGGGTATCAAAGGGTCTTAGTTTCAAAAGATGTGATACAGCTGAACATGTCACCGTGAGCGCGTTATAAAAGTGACACTCTATCTTGTTATTCAGTTCAAAGAGCCGGTCAAAGCCTTTGTGGCTGGAGGTGCTGCTGACCGGTTGCATTCTCTTTAATCAGTAGTTCAAAATTAGAACCGGTTATATCTAAAACCGTGGGTTTTCTGACCTGCTCGTTTAACTCACATAAAGTGGAGTCCAAATTGCAAGTTAGTACTTTGAACAAGTCATTGATTAATGTCTTCTCATTTTATATATTTAATGTTTTCAATAAAACATTGATTAACTTTAGCTCTTTATAATAGTACTCTGAGCGAAGCATTGGTTAGTCCGTTATCTCTGTATTTTTAGTTCTTTAAAAGAAACTATTAAGTTTGTTTCTTTATAAGCTATTTATACAGAAACTTATACTGTATGTTCATGTTAGATATAAATATTTTTACAACGTTTACATGTTACACATATGTATAAAATTCACAGTAAAACCTATTTTATGTGTATTTTACATGATTAAGTAATATTCACGGTAATTTCTATTTTTTCTATATGTTATGAGTTCGCGTGGGTTAATTTTTGTTTCCATTTCTCTTAAGCTATCTTGGATCACTTAGCAGCTTTGATCATTTTTACTAATCTTTATATTGCTCTCTCTCTCTCTGTATATATATAAGGTGTTTCGTCGATCCTCGTATCCGTCCCGGTCAAACGCTTGTAGCTTCAAAATGTCCAAGGCCCGGAATCAAGTCGGAAATAATCGACGTTTACCCCCTCTGTTATCGATTACTTCAAGCTCTCCAGATATCGAGCAACCCTCACGGATTCCAAGTCCTTGTTCAAATTCTGGAGGAAAGCAGCATATTAAAAGCCCGTTTGGTAGTCGCTACCACAGAAACTGCTGCTCCCCCTATCGGGCGCTCTCTCCTGGTCCTGGATGTTATCTTGATACTATGTCAGAGAACAGAACCAATCTACGTTTTCCACATTCTCGATCCCCCCAGTTCAATGGTAAGTTCCTTGTATGAAGTTATGTATATTTATTCAGAGAAGTAAATACAAAGATAATCTTCCATGTTAAAGTAAATACACTATCGTATATATGTATATATATATGTGTATGTGTATATAAAAAAAACTCGAATTGTTTCTATTGTACCAAACTGTTTTTATTTAACAGTTGTAGCATCACAGTAAAATAATGTGGTCTAGACGGCAACTTCCAAATTTATACAGATTGTAATGCTTTTATAATTTTATGGCAAAAATTGAAAAAAAATATTTACCATGTGATAAAAAAAAATTGTTTAATGTATATAAGTACATTTCTGGAACTAGGAAACTTAAATGTTGGACCAAAAGGGAAGAAATTGTTTAATGTAAAATGCTCTTGTGATTGTAATGTTAAACATGTGATTTGTATTTTAAAATGTTCTCTTTGTGGAAAGTTGTATGTTGGAGAAACTATTAATTTGAGACCAAGAGTTAAATTACATAGGTATCATGTTAGAAATCCGGAAATCTTTATTCCCAGTCTATAGTTCGGCCCATTACAATCGGTCAACAGTTGGTGGTTTATTAAAAATTGTTCACCTAACACAGACAGTCAGCGATAGAAACTTCTAGTAGGCGGCCGGTGCTTCAGCCCATTGGAGGCATGACATTTATTAGGAAACTTCCAAACTCGGAGTAGCTGGCCTTAATCATCGTTGGTTGGTCCCGCTGCGAGACACCAAAACCGGCACGTGCAATAGTGGCAGTAGCTTGAGGATGATAACTTAAGACTGTTGATTTCGAGCTGTCTGCGCCCGTCAGGTCTCCTTCTTAAAGTTCCGTGCGTCGAAGTAACAAAACTCAACTTATTTGCCTGTGTAATCTGATTGGCTAGTAAAACGTAAGCTGCCGACAGGTGATGACCGCCGGAACGTCAGTGATTGGTAGTTACCTGAATGCATACTTGAAGTTTATAATATTTTGTTGTCAACGCAAAGAAATGCTGATTCCTCAAGTTTTGTTTTTTTTGTTTTCCTAACACAAAATCACCGGAGAATTCAACGCCATTCATAGCGCTTGTGGAGAGTATCATGAGAATTCTCAAACACCTCGTGTACGAATGACGGATTAATATTGTATTCATGTTTAAACAACAGCAGATTCAGGACTAACTGATTCTAAAACAATATACATCATCCGGGTTTGTTTTATCACTCAGGGTTTAGTACCTCTGTGTTTAACGTTTATTTCACGTCATCCAGGTTTGTTGTATCATCCCAAGGTTTGGTACCTCACTTTGTAACTGTGTAAAATTCTCGAGTAATATTTTAAAGCGTTTTTATTGAATGTCAGATCATTTTTAGTCATTTACGACTGCTCCCCCTTCCCCAGTGTTTTGTAAATTCCCACTTGCGAACTGATGGAAACTCGTCTTTACGACGAAAACTGTTCCAAAGTTTGACGTTTCGCCTTTGAAACTTCAAAAACAAAGCTTATCTCTAAAACTGATTGAGTAATAGATCCCAGATCGAACGTAATTAATCAGATTCTTGACTTGGAGATGAGTTTTGTTCTAGTGACATAAACGTTAAACTTTACAAAACTGTATAAAATTATAAAATTACACATACACAGTTATGTTACTGATGCCATATAATAACCAGTATACACATTATACAGATATATATAAGTTACTGATGCCATATAATAACAAGTATACACATTATACAGATATACATAAGTTACTTATGCCATATAATAGCCAGTATACACATTATACAGATATACATAAGTTACTGATGCCATATAATAGCCAGTATACACATTATACAGATATACATAAGTTACTGATGCCATATAATAGCCAGTATACACATTATACAGATATAC